CCCGTTCCCCCTCCCGGGGTCCCGCCTGTGTCTTGTGCCCCGTTATCCCTCCCTGTGTCCCGCCTGTCTTGTGGCCCCGTCCCCGTGTCCGGTGTCCCATATCCCGTGTCCCACATCCCGTCCCCGTGTCCTGTGTCCCGTGTCCCACACCCTGTCCCCGTGTCCGGCCTGTCCTGTGTCCTGTGTCCCGTGTTCCACCCCCGTGTCCGGCCTGTCCCCCCCGTGTGTCCCCCGTGTCCCACCCCCGTGTCCGGCCTGTCCCCTCCGTGTGTCCCCCGTGTCCGGCCCGTCCCCTCCGTGTCCCACCCCCGTGTCCGGCCTGTCCCCTCTGTGTGTCCCCCGTGTCCGGCCTGTCCCCCCGTGTGTGCCCCATGTCCCACCCCCGTGTCCGGTCTGTCCCCCCCGTGTGTCCCCCGCCCCGCGCGGCGCCGCCGGCGGTGACGGGCGGGGGGCGGAGCACGCTCGTGCAGCCGAAATAGCTCAGTTGGGAGAGCGTTAGACTGAAGATCTAAAGGTCCCTGGTTCGATCCCGGGTTTCGGCAGAACTTTCTTTTCCTGCCGGGACCCGGTTTGCAAAAGCGCTGTTTTCACCCCAAAACACCCCCCGGCGTTTCCGAATTCGTTATTCCCTCCCCAAACTCTGCACGTGATCGTTTTAAATATTCTGGAAACAGACAGGGGTGAAGGATTGCAGGACCTAACCCTGGATTAATGATAAATATTATTAAAGAAATTAAATAAAGATGAATTATGAATTAATAATAAATACGAGTTAATGATCTTACACTGAGCATTGAGGAGGGAAGCTGAAGGAACATGGATTAATTAACACTGGACAAGCAGAGGTGGTGTGTGTTAGCCCATTTTAAATAAAGCACAAGAACAAAACCCAGTGAGTTCATTTCCCAGTGATTAATAATGTGAAACTGAGACAGAGACAGGATATTACAGCTTTATCTGATGTATAAAAACTATCTTCACCTGCTGTAAGACTGGGGTGGAAGCACCACCCGCCACAGATTAAAATAATGAAACAAAAGCGGCAAATTTTGATGATTCACTTCATCCCACTTTATTAAATCCACATGATGTGTACATGGTGAGGCTGAATCTGACGCCCAGCAGCAGTGAGTGGCCAGTGGGGCAGCACTGGAAAGGGGTGGGACAAGGTCAGGATTATCCCTGGAAGTATCCAAGGCCAGGCTGGAGGGGCTTGGAGCCCCCAGGGAGATGTCCCTGACCAGGGATGGGCTTTAAGGTCCTTTCCACCCCAAACCATTCCAGGATTCCACAGCTGCAGTGGAGGTGAGGTGGTTCTGCTTCTTAACAGCACTTGAGGAGTTTTGATGGAGAAGGGAACAAAGGGTTAATGTGAAGGAGGGGGAAGTTGATCCCCATCTCCAAATTAGGCAGGGCACTGGGATGAGGGGCAGGAAATTCCCTCCCCAAACTCTCACCTCCAAAGGGAAAGTGCCACTCACAGCTCCGAGTTAACTCCATCATTAATTTTTTATCCTACCCTACAAAACTCATTATTCCTCCTCCCAGGTTTTAATAAAAAACTCACTTCCTGGCCTGTCCCTATAATTGAGGTACTTGAGATAATGGGAATGAGGATTCCATGGTAAAACTCATTAGAGAGCACAGAGCAATTAAAAGTGTAATTAAAATATATTCAGATAATTACTACCAGCCGGGATAGACATCTGGATCCCAATTTCAACTTCTGTATTTCAAATCATCTTGGGTTTTACTGGACAAGCAAGGAGATCACATTTCATTATCACAGAGAAACCCTAATCAGGGGGTTTTATGTATCATTTATCATTATTCATCATTAATTAGTTCTTGGTGACACTGCTTCCATGTGCCACGGCTCCAGCAAAGGTGGGCAGGGAGCTGGGCAGGATTAAACTGGGAATTCAGATGAGAAAAAGACAATTAAAAGCCTCCCAAAATTCCTGGCCTCAAAAGAGGCAATAAACCAGCATTCCACTGGCTCACTGGTAGAGGAAAAGGGAATGTTTTTGTTTAAGCAAACCTGGATTCCTTCTCCACGGGATTTTACTTGTCATAACAGAACAAAACCCCACAAATCTTTGTGATCCAGGTCGCAGCTCTGAGCACCAATTTGATTTCCCACCCTTGGAGATCCATCAGGCAGGAAGGAGGAACCCCCCCGGGAACGTTTCCTGCAGGAACCCCCTCCTGGTTTTATCAGGAACAACGAGGCCACCAGGATAAAATCCCTTCCCAAGTTGGGTGTTTGGCTAAAAGAATCCACGTGGAAGTTGGTGGAGCAGCAGAAGCTCTGCACAGCACTGGGGGTCTCTGGCAGCCCCCCAGGAGGGCACTGATGGATCAGGATCTGGCAGATCCTCAACATGGCGAGGCCATGGGAAGCAGCGAGGGCTGAGAGCCAGCTGGGGCTGGGAGCAGAATATTTGGGGATATACACACAGACTTTACAAAGAATGCCACGTTTTTGTACAAATCACCACTGGTTATTTACACCTGGCCCCAGGGCAGCCCTGGCCACTCCTCAGCTCTCCGCAGGCTCCGGCTCCGTCTTGAGCTTTTTGCTTCCCAGGACTTGCTCATCAAACAACTCTCTCTCTCTGGAAAGAAAAAGATAGGAGTTTATAAATTAAAACAGGGTATTATTGTCCAGATTACATCACCTGGACAAATTAAAGCTGGCACATTTCGTCCCTCACGGGAGTGGGACACTGAACTCTCCTGCTCTCACCCCAAACCTTTTCTGTATCCAACAATAATGAGGTAAAAACCCTTGGGAAATCCTAAAAACAAATCTACCTTTTGCTCACAGGTGGTCCTTTAATGTACTTCTCTTCTGCCTTCTCATAATCAATGTCATCCACAGCAGCAATGGCACAGATGATGGCCTAGAAAAGCATTGAATAATTAATAATAATAATAATCAATAAGCAAAACTAAACCACAGCCGGGGATTTCAAGCTGCCTCAGCTGAGCACACTTGGAGAAAAGGGTTCCTCAATCACTTGGAAAACTTGGATGAAATCGCTCGTTGAGTGCCTGAAATTCTTAAATAAATAATATGAACTTGTTCTGTATCATCCCCTGGGGGGTATTTTTATCCTCAGATTAAAATATTCCTCACAGTAATTTTGTTTCTACACGAGTTAATGTTCTCCTGGGAAAATTCCTGTGAAGAACACAAGGTATCCACAACAACTGTAAAAACAGCCAACACACCACCCCCCACCTCGACACACACAAAGGACCAAGAAAACCCTGAGAAGTCGCCAAATTAAAATAAAAACCCCAAAAACAAAGCCTTGAAGCATTCCAGAAGTAATTAAAATCCATCAGAAAATTACCAGTCTGCTTTTAAAAGCAACAAACTACCTGAAGCTTCTCCTCTCTGTGCTTAAAAATCAGCATTTGAGTGACTCAGGCTGTGGGAAGGGGTGAATATTCCTGCTTGGCTCAGCTCTGGGAACTCTCTCCACATCATTCCATAGGAGCCACACCACACCAAAGGAATAAATAATGGGAATTACAGTCATTTATCACTCCACAGTTCATTTTCCCCCTGTTTCATGCTCCCTCACCTCAGGTAAAAGCACATCTGAGATGAATCTGATGCCGTCCCCCAGGATTTGGTGCAGGTTCTTGGTGTCCATCTCCCTGTACACCTCCTTCAGGTACCCAACCACCAGGTCCAGCTGCTCCTCATCCTCCAGGTAAGTCTCCACACAGGTCATGTACCGGCTGGAATTCAGGAATTTCTTCAGCCAGCGGGATTGCTTCCCACTTTTCAAGATCCCCAGGAGGTGTTCTTCAGCTCCTTTTGACTTGACTATGAACTCCACCAGCTTCTTGTTCTCCCTGTCCCTGGCAGCTCTGGTCCTGTCAGGGAGGAGCTTCCTCGGGGGTTTCTGCGGGGAGGCGTCTGAGGAAGACTCTCCAGCCCCTTCCCCCTCTGTGTTTGGGAATGCCATCTGCACCACACTCTGGTATCCCTCTTTCCTCACTGGGTAGCCTGGAAGAGAAACCACAACAATTTAGATTGAAATGTGCAAAGAGTTTTCATAACCGTAGCGATAGAAAATAAGGAACTTTATTGCTGAGAGGATTTTTTCTTCCTTCCCTACCAAAGAGCTTAAAAAACCACCAACAAAAACATTTATTTGCCTTAAAGAAAATTAAAATATTAGGGAGCTACTTAGTCACAACTCCAACTGACCTGATTCTGGTCTCGAACCACCAGTATTTATTTAATTTATTAAACCCTTAATTGCAAGAATGGGGAGCTGTAAATTCACCAGCAGCCCCTCTCTGGGTCTGGT